GGGCGGTTCAGCGCTTCCCATGGGGCAGGAGCGGGGGGGGGGGTTTAGGGTTTCCCGTGGGGCAGGAGGGGGGCGGTTCAGCGCTTCCCATGGGGCAGGAGCGGGGGGGGGGGTTTAGGGTTTCCCGTGGGGCAGGAGGGGGGCAGTTCAGGGCTTCCCGTGGGGCAGGAGTGGGGGCGGTTCAGGGTTTTCCGTGGGGCAGGAGCGGGGGTTCAGGGTTTCCTGTGGGGCAGGAGTGGGGGCGGTTCAGGGTTTCGGGTGGGGCAGGAGCGGGAGGCTGGCCGCGGGGGGGGATCAGGGCTTCCCGCAGGGCAGGAGCGCTGTGTCCAGCAGGGTCCTTTCTTTACCGCTAACCTTGACCCAAATGTGTCTAGTTTCTTGCATCTGAAGAAGTGAGGTTCTTACCCACAAAAGCTTATGCTCCCAATACTTCTGTTAGTCTTAAAGGTGCCACAGGACCCTCTGTTGCTTTTTACAGATTCAGACTAACACGGCTACCCCTCTGCTACGTGTCTAATTTCTGACTTTCTTATTTCTCAGCCGGGCTGAGGCCCGGGACTAGAGACAAAGATCTGCTTGGGTGTAAACCCGTCCCCAGCCAGGAGAGCCTCCCTCTGGGGAAAATGCTCAGACACGTCCACAGGGCTGGAATTCCAGCCCCCAGCTCGGCCCCATTCCATAACCCCCTGAGCTCCAAACTGTACCAGCTACGTGTCCATCCTCACCGGGGCAAAGCCCGCTGGCTCCCAGCCGTGTATTGGCCTGTCTTGTTTGAAACAGGCATGCAGGTTGCTGAGCGCCCAAGCTGGACTTTGCCATAGGCCAGTGCATGGCATTCTCCCCGCCTTGTCTCCAGTTATCAATGCACACTGCTGTTTAATCTGCACCAAAGGAGGTTTAGGTTTAGGAAAAACTTTTTAACGGTCAGGATAGTTAGGTACTGCAGTAGGTTACCAAGGGAGTTGTGGAATCTTAATGGGAGTTTTTTTGAGAACAGATTGGAGAAAGATCTGTCTGGGATGGTCTAGGTCAGTGGCTCAAACTTTTTACTTGTGACCCCTTTCACATAGCAAGCCTCCGAGTGCGACCTCCCCTTATAAATTAAAAATACTTTTTAATATATTTAACACCATTCTAAATGCTGGAGGCAAAGTGGGGTTTTGGGTGGAGGTTGACAGCTCGTGACCCCCCTCCCCCATGTAATAACCTTGCAAACCCCTAAGGGGTATCACCCCCCAGTTTGAGAACCCCTGGTCTAGGTATACTTGGTCTTGCCTCAGCATGGGGTAGGAGGGGCTGGACTAGATGACCTTTGGAGCTCCCATCCAGCCCTACATATCGCTGAGTGCTGCTCTTGGAGATGGCCCTCAGCCTCCAAACCATAAGGTATATGTCCCAGATCACATCTATGACTCCACTCATGCCCTAGTTTGACATGTGTTTGGAGGTATGCCTGACACAGCTGTGTAAGAGAAGACTCATACCATAGGGTTTCAGCTGGAATGTTGCCTTTGTGGGCTTTTGCTCTGAAATTGTCTAAAAATTAACAATGTAATTGTTTGTTACTTATATTGCAATAATATATAGAGGTCTCAGTCAGGATTGGGGACCACTGTACTAGATGTACACATGGTCCTGGCTCCAAAGAACTCACAATTTAGACCAGCGATTTGCAAAGGGTAGGTGAAGATGGAGGGTGGGGAGGGAAACCCAATATATACACAATTGTTATATAAAATTTTTAGGCATGTCTGCACCATGGGGTCTATAGTGGCATAGCTACAGCACCATTGCTATGCCAGCATAAACCCATAGTGTAGATTCAGCCTAGATCAATTGAAGTTTTGTTGTTATTTTTTTCAGAGGGGAGAGTTTCGGTTGCTGTAAGTAAACTACCTCCCTGAGTAATGGTAGCTAGGTTCACAAAACTATTCTCCAGTTGATGTAGCTGTATCTACATGGGGGGTTAGGTCACCATAGCTACATCGCTGAGGGGTGTGGATTTTTCACTTAAAATTTAAGTGTATACCAGGCCTAAATGTACAAATATATATCCCCTCAACTCAGAGCTGAACAGTCATGTATTGGCAATTTATTGTGGACATCATAGGAGAGATGGGTCTTGAGAGGGGACATGAAGGAGGAGACGTCTCAGGGAGGGCACTGCATGGAAGGAGCAGAGATGTTTGTGTGAAGCTATTGAAGGGTCAATCAGAGCAACTGAGTAGAGTAGGTGGGATGGTTTAGTAAAATACAGGGGTGCATAGAGAGAGGCAGGCAGATCTGTGAAAGGCTTTGAACGTGAGGACATGAAACTTGATCTTGATATGGAGAAAAAGAAGGAGGCAGTGGATTGACTAAAAGAGGAGGGTGATGTGGTCAGAACCACACGTGAGAAAGGCCTAATTAACAAACTGGTAAAAAACATGGGAATTTGCTAGAGCATTACCTACACCAGGAATACCACCAGTTCCACCACACATCCAGATGAACAAAAAGCAGTGGGGATTTATTTTGTGCATACTGTCTCTGCAAGGAAAAGAGATAGAGACTTTCTTTACCTTACTGGAATCTCAGGTCTCCATCTGTTCTTCACTAGGCTGAACAAAGATTGCCAAAGCCTAGTGACGTTATGAAATAAAATAATCCTAGTAACTTCTGTAGTTTGACAGGCATCACATACATTTTGGTCTTCACCTTGGCATCTTAATCTGATGCCAGTTTGGGGGAGCTACCTCCCAGTCACCTTTAACTAACACTCCTCAGAGTCATGCTGAGGCTCACTGCTGCTTGTCAATCATCCAAGAACAGGGATCCATATGGGCAATTCTCAAAGGAGAAGAATGGTGATTTACCCCAGTAACTGTGGTTCTCCAAGATGATCCTCACAGACAGATCCATGCTTCCTGCCCAACTCCCCCTTTTATACCCTGAGACCCCTGTAAGAGATGGGGAGCAAGATAGACTGGCCTCAGGATTCTGAGTTTGTGTGCTGGGGGCTTTAATCTCAGAAGTGTGGGTCCATGTAGACATCTGTCTCTGGGAAACACAATAATTGTGGTAATTAACTGATGTTTTGAAATAGCTACAAATTATAAAAAAAATTGGTTGAATAATTTATATCTTTACATTTGAATTTAAAAGTTTACAAAATGGCCAGGAGGAGCAGTCAGTCTCCTGTGAATGGACTAGAATCAATGCACTTGAATGCATGGTAACAAAGTACACAAAGATGTATGACTCACTGCAATGTAATGTCACACTTGTGTAATCTTTAAATGCAAACTCTTTTCCTCTAATAAAATATTTGTAAGTGCACACTATGTATATAGGGTGATATGAGTCAGCCAAGAAAGTGTCCTCTGTTGAATTCTGAATGAATGCGTATGTTCCCTGGATAACACGCTGAGTGTCTGTGGCAGTTTATATTCTTGTGATTTCAACAACTGCTACAAAAAATATTTTGTTTCTAGGGTAGACAACTGTAAGTGTAAGTTTAACTATAAAGTTCTAGTCAGATTCTGTTTTCCATTATGTGCTGGAAGCACATATGAATATGCAACTCCATAGTCACTCTGTGTCACCTAAAGTATATTGTGTTTTCTTCTTTGAATAAAAGAAACATTAAGTGGATGCTGAAGATGAAAGCCAAGTACATGAAATGATCAGCTCTCCGCCTCCAGTTTCTCTTTGTCCTCAGTAGAGCCATTAAGCTAAAAAAATTCAGTATATTAAACTCCATGAGTTGAATGTGAAGAGAGTTTACTTACGTGGTGAGTCACTAGTTACGTGCGGCCCTTGTAACAATTTGCCACAATCTTCCTCTTGTTTCATTATCATTGTGTTGAAACTGCTTTGTGTCTCACCCTATGGAAGTCTTTTTAATAAATATCCAAAACCAGATGAGACTGATTTAATTTACACCAGTGTAATTTTGGAATAATGCCACTGAAGCCAGTTGAGTTACACTAATGTGTAAAAAGCAGGGTATCTGAAATTAGAAGGAAATTATTGTAAAGTGTATTCTTTAATCTGCTGTGAATAGAATGCTAATGGGTGAGATTTGGGAGGCCTTCAGCTAGAATAGGACACAAGATACTCCAGTTGGAAAACTGCATATTATGTTGGCAAGGTTGATTTTCTATAACTTATTGCTGATCTCTGTTGTTGTTTTTTTATATCAAAGGGGACCTGTCACCAACTTTTTAATAGATTGTAATCAAGACCCTAAACTTTATTGAATGGGTCAAACCTACTGCTGTATAAAGGGAATGCAGCAATACAGAAAGGCTGCAATTGGATCTGTTGGTGATTGCACCTGGGTCAGCAGAAGGACATGCCTTGTCTATCGA